AAAAAAAAAAAAAAAAGTCTATATTAGACGGAAAACATGGATTTGTTTGTTTAGAAAGGAAATCTCTCCCCAAAAAGGGTCATAAGTAATTTCACGACAGAAAATAGAAAAAATAGAAAATTGAAATAGAAATTGATATCATTAAGAAAAAAAAATAAAGAATGAAATAAATCAGATGATAAAGCAAAAAGATAAAATGTAATGGTTAGATTGAGAATATAAAACAAAAATATGAAACAAAAATAAAATAGAGAACATAAATAGAAGAGAAGAAAATAGAATGAATTTGAAATGGAAATAAACATGCTGTAAAATAACTAACCAAAAATAAATAATAAATAAACAAACCAAGATCAAGTGAGTTGGATAAAATATAGAAAACAATAATCATAGTCATGAAAACTACATTCGTGTAAGTTCAGAACGTGGTCAGGTTTATTGCGGTTATTTATTTTTATCAATATTTAAGACTGACTGACTGACTGACTAGTAATAACATATTATCATATGATATAACTTGGATAAAACAGGTAAAAAATAAAAATAAAAAAAACACACACACACACACAAAAAGAAAACATTTTCATTACTTGCTGACTGTGCATGAGCCCTTTATTGCAATCTCGGAACAAATTCCGTTTCAATTACTTTTTTGCATTCGATCAAGGAAAATCAAAAATATTAACCCCCCGCGTCGCACATCTCTCCTTTTTTTTTTTTTTTTTTTTAATTTAGGATTCTACGGGAACCGTGACTTGGGGATTTCCCAAGAATCTTGGAATTCTATTCTTCCCCTTAAAAACCCAGACGCATTGCATTAATTGCATGAAGCACTCGACCCGTTATGCCGTTATGATCGCGGGGCGCAAGGATTTCCTAGCAGAGAGAGAAGGCGAGGCGTTCAAAAAAGCTCGCAGAAAGAAAAAAAAGAAAAGAAAAACGCTCTTTGTTTCTAATGAAACATTCAAGCTTTTAAAATTTGGAACACTAAGAAGCAGAGAATTGAAAAAAAAAAAAAAAAAAAAAAAAAAAAAAAAAAAAAAAAAAAAAATATATAAAAAAAAAAAAAAAAAATAAAAAAAAAAAAAAAAAAAAAAAAAAAAAAAAAAAAAAAAAAAAAAAAAAAAAAAAAAAAAAAAAAAAAAAAAAAGTTCTCGTTACTTTAAGCTCGCTTTTCTTTTTCTTTTTTTTCCCGCAATGCATACCAAAGATTCTAGGTTCCAACATTGTGACCCATCCAAAGACCGTGCGAACGGTGTTGACGTAAACAGACTACCTTGGGCCACAGCTTTTATGCACAAATACCGTGACATCTTACGTAATTAAGTATATATAATTATAACCTTTTGAGAATATGAAAATATTCCCTTCTTTTGGGACGAAAGTGCTTCTGCCCTTCGTTATTTCTCAAAAAAAAAAAAAAAAAAAAAAAAAAAAAAAAAAGGTTTCTAAAATCATGTGGAACGCCGAGGCATTTTCTTTGTCGAATTTCTCAAGAACGAAATAGTTATCGCCCAAGCAAACCAATCGTGATAAGCATGTGAAGAAACCTTCTCTCTCACATCTTTTTCTTCTTTCTTTTTTATTTTATTTTTCCGGGAAGAGAAAAGCGCAAATGATCCAGCCTTTCCCAAATTGCGCTACCAGCATTGCGTATTGTTTAGCCGCCCAATGAGCTTTTCAAAAGATCGCCTTTCCAAGATCTGATCACGATTCCCAGCTTTCTATAATAAGTCAGAACCTCGTTTTGAGAGCACCCTATATGTCGTAGTATGCAAAAGAGAAATTACCCGGAGCTTGAAAGTTTTTTTTTAAAAAAAAAAGAATCTTCCATCGATCGATATTAAAGCAAGTGGGGCCGTGAACACAAAAGGTGAACCCCAACTCGTTCACAGACAGGCATGGATAAGCCAAGAAACTGGAATTACGAAATTGCCAAGGCACCTAGAACGGTCAACACCATCACAGAAAACCGATGCCCTGGTGCCAGTTCGTATGGCGATGTATTGTCCCCCATCTCCCAAACTGGGCCTAGCCACGTCACGCGGCAGCGATAGGTTGTCCGTGACGCGAAGCGCTACCTACACAGCTCATCCATGCATTTTCTTTGTGCACTATCAGACTATCAGAATAATTGTGCAAATTATTGAACTACCAATCCAGTGATGACGTCATCAGTACATTAATGTGTGACCGTCTTTGAAATACTACCACCACCTTCCTCCTTGGCTCTGAACCATGTTCACGCCCTTTGATGCCCTCGCCTCCACCTTTTACACCTTCATCGTTCTCCTCAATGCCGTCTCCACCTACTCCGCCGTTTACATACATCCGGAAAAGTTCCCGCAGATTTGGCTAGTGCTTGACATCTTCGCCTGCAACTCTGCCGAGCAGCCGCTGCAGATACTGGCCATCAAGGCCGTTTTTGTCTACGTCATATTCTTCATGGGAGGATTCCGTGAGTAATTTGCTTATTTTGTGGTCAGGTCATGGAGATCCATTCAATTATTACGGAAGTTCATTCAATTATTTACAGAAGGAACGCTGGACAGCAGATGCTGATGATCAAGAAGCGTTTGCGAATTAAACGAACTTTTGAGAGAACATGAGCATTAATTATCTCAGTCTTATTTTGATCATCAAGGCTTCACCCTTACGCACTTAATGTACTATCTCGATCTTGTCACTATGGCTGGACTCGTCTACCTCTTCTCTGAAAGCAACCAGGCCAAAAAGGTAATAGAGCAGGCATCAAAGACTTGGGTAAAAGAGGGAGAAAGCATTGAGATTGAGTCGTTTATTAGGTAACAGTATAGTTTTGTACTTTATATAAGATTGTTGAAGGTTAGGGAGAGTGTTTTGTATGTTGACGAATTGTATGTACCTTAGCCCGAAATTCCTCCCCCAGTACCTTAACCCTCTATGGACTCCTGACGGCTGCATTATATACCCCAACAGTACGGCCTCGTATCCCATTTTTACCTTCATTCTCAGTCGCGCATGGAACCTGTCTCAACTCTCTCTCACCTCACTCACCTTTTCGATTCAATGCAGTCGGCTACGTGACCTACGAGGAGGGTCTCGACGCGGTCAAATCTACTGGTGACTCGTCACAGCTGCAAAAACTGGTTCTCGACGTGTTCGTGCACAAGAACGTCAAAGCGCAAGTAGAGACAGAGGGCCTCCGCCCTGTGCTGGTAAAATCTTTCGCCCATGATCCTCTTCCTACTTACCTTTAGGCTCAATTTTACGCTATATCTCATTCCTTAACATACATACGTCCTACCTCCAGCTCTATGTACACGGCGGTGGCTGGCGCATGGGCAGCAAGGACATCCGCGACCCGCTCATGAAGCGCCTTGTTACGCGTTCGCATTGGGTCGTCGTCTCAATTGACTATCGCATCTCGGCTGCGAATGCATACCCAGCACACCTGATCGACGTCAAGCGTGCGATAAGGTGGACCAAGCGGACCGTGAGCTTCTTTGGAGGAGACCCAAGCTTCATTTTCGTAGCGGGTAGGTAGGGTAAAGTCAAAGCGGGGTTTTCACGGATGAAGAGTGCCTAATATTTGGCTTTCTCTATTGTGATAACATAGGCCATTCTGCTGGAGGTCACCTTGCCGCTATGGCTGCGCTGACGCAAAATGATCGGCGATATCAACCCGGTAGCCCTTATTCTCCTTTCTTTCACATTGAACATAGCATTGCTCACTGAGCCTCCCCGTTAACCTAGTTCACACATCACACTTATTGCTCGCCTTCTTCCCCCTAGGCTTCGAGACAGAAGACACGACCGTCCGCGCCGTTGTGAGCCTCAACGGTGCCTTGCAGCTCCACGAGCCACCCGCGAGGGCCGAATGGTTTATACGTAATATCTGCAACGGCCAGGCGGACGCCGCCTTCTTAAGGGATCACTCGCCTGTCGCGCTAGTGGAGAAGAAGGAAATGAGTAGGGTGCCGTTCTTGGTCATCAGGTGTGTATCGAGAGGATATGGTGTTTGATCAGGTGGTTGTTGGCTTGGTTTTATCGATTGCTCCCGGGTGCTGAATTGATAATGCTGAAAAGATAATTACTTTCAAAATACAGCGGTGAACGCGATGCTGTAATTGCAGTAAAGGTTGGTGAGCACTTTTGGGCAGCATACGAGCGAGGTGAATGCGAAGTTTTTTTTTAATTTTTAGTTGCATATTGTTGTGTGGAAACGACCTACCTTTTTACTCGCTCGACGAACATGAACAAACCTGTGATGCTGAAACTTGTCTCGGCCTTTTCCCCTTCGTAGCCGCAGTGGGGAGCCCACGCATTCTTCCTACAGGCGATTGTCACCACCTGGTCGTTCCCGTATGTAGAAATCTTCGTCTCGAGAAAAATCCATTGCACTCATGTCTATTACCTCCAAATATGAATACTATATCTATCCCACATCTTGCATGTCCGCCTCGTCATATACTTGCAGGGCGCTCACCATTCCTTCCACCTATTCTGGTCTCCGCGCGCCTTCTATGCCTCGGTGGCGGTGGAGCGGTGGTTGAACCATGCGTATGACGTGATGAAGGGCAAGTGAGGCATGGTGACGATCATCGGGCGCCTGAGTTTTTGGAGTGTCGGACTTTTTAAGAGTTGGCGGATTGGGCGCTACGAAAAGGGTGGTTTGCTGTGCCAGGTTTTTTTCTCTTTTTGGAAGATGTAGACTATTTTACGAAAATTGGAGAATGCAAGAGCGGCACACTGCGCTAAGGATGTATGTTCGTACTTATCTTCTATTCATAAACACTTTGTTTTTAATATCCTTGTCTTTCTTATATACCCAATGACACAGTCATTTACGAGTTGTACAAGAAAAGAAAAATTTATTAAACAAAGGTTGCATAAAGGAATGGACAGGAGCTCCTGTAAAGAGAGCGATCGAATAAAGTGACGCTTGCGTAACAGGAGGAAAAAAGGAACAAAAAGAAAAAAGAAAAAGAAAGAAAGAGAGGACAGGACCATACCAAGTTTGCGTAGTCTGGGAATCGAACCCAGGTCTCCCGCGGTCTGTCATTAGATGGCAGGCGAGAATTATACCACTAAACCAACTACGCATTTTCTCTTCTTGTCTCTCTCTCCTATCCTTCCTTCCTTGTTTCCTTCCTTCCTTCCTTCCTTATCTTGCTCTTTCTTTTTCTTTTTCTTTTTTTTTTTTATTATTCAAGCTAGAATCACGTGTTGCGAGTCTCCCCACACAATTTCTCTCAATTAGACATGACGAATCCTGCCCGTATTTACTTTCTTTTTTTATTCACTGACACGATTAGATGGCATTCCTCTCTCTTCCCTCGTCCCCCCGTCACGCCCACGTCCCTTTGCCAAGCCGTCGCGCGATTGTGCGAATCCCAACCTTTTGAGGTGGAGCTGTTGAAGGTTCTCAACAAAAAAAAAAGAGAGAGAGAGAGAGAGAAAGAGAGGTAATATTTTTGGATGTGCACTTGCCAAAAAGAACGGCGATCGATAATCGAATTGTATAAATTATAGTAAAAAAAAAAAAAAAAAAAAAAACCAAAAAAAAAA